CCCCCCCCCCCCCCCGCACTCGCCTCGGTCGTTGCACATGCGTGTCAGGGTGGGGGTGTGTATTCTACCTACTTCGGGCCGGGTGTGGGGGCGCGGCCCTCCTCGGCTTGCTGGCTTCCAGCACGCCCGGTGCCGAGGCCACAATTGCTCGGGCACGGCAACGATCAGCATCGCTGGCTGGGTCGCCTTCTCTCGGGGGCTGCACCGCCGCCGATCTCGCTCGGGGTACGCCTCCTCTTGCGCCCGCGGCCGGCAGCCACGGGCCCGCGGCCTCGGGGCCCCGTGCTGCCGCCCCCCCTCACCAGAGTTTCCGCGGGACCGGCGGCGGGGACTTGTTGTTGGCCGCGTTGGCAGCAAAGAAGAGCATGCGTTCCCTTTTTTTTTTGTTCCCCCCGGCCGGACGGAGAACAACACCAGGACAAGGCGCGGCCAGATCGCGGAGCGTCGGCGGCACAGGGCGCACGCACAGCGGCCAGGTCACAGGGCGGGCATGGTCAGTCTCAGATCGATCAAAACAGCGGGGCGGGACCGACTTCGCCTTGGCCGTCCGATCGACGCCGGACCGGGGCTGCTGAGGAGCGCCCTCCTCCGGGCCGGCCCCACGGCGCGGGGCAGCCCCCGGTCCTCGGGCTCGCCGGGCGTGTGGAAGGCATGAAAAGCGGAAACCTGCGCGGGCGGGAGCGACAAAGAGGGGCGGGGACGCGGGGGGCGACACGCACTGGAAGGACGACTTGTCCGGGTTGTAGTTGGTGACGACAGCCTCGCGCACGCTCTCCGACGCCTCGACCATGCCATGCATCTCGCGGATCTTGCGGGACGTTTGGTCGACCGGCGGGCCGGCAGCCGGGCGCTCGGGATCCTCGGCGGCAGTCGCAGCGGCGGCCGAGCGCTCCGCGCGCGCCCGCTCGAATGTCTCCACCTCGAGACGCTGCTGCTGCAGACGCATGTGCAGGCGCCGAATGTCGGCGCCCAGTTCGCCGGCGAGGGAATTGGCACGCGGCGTCGAGCCGGCCCCGGGCCCGGCCCCGGGCCCGGTGGCCTCCCCACCTCGGGCCAGGCCCTCCTCCTTCTCGCGACGGCGGTTGGCCGCGGCGATGGCCGAGGCGGTGGCCCGGCGCCGGCGCCGGCGCGCCTGCGACTGGCTGTCCTCGTCCGGATCGTCGTCCTCATCGCGGGCCGGGCCGCGCATGATGTTCATCTGGAATTGCAGGAGCTCGGCCTCGGCCCGGCGCCGGCGCTCACGCTCGTCGCGCACATCGCGCTCGGCCTCCATGAGCTCGGCGCGGATGGCCTCCGTCCGGTTGGCGATGTTGCTGGTGGTGTCTTCGGCCGGCGCGTCGGAATCGTCGTCCTCCTGGCCGGGGCGCCGCTCGCCCGGGGCCGGCATGCGAGCCGCGCGCAGGGCATTCAGCCGCTCGGCCAGCATGTCGGCGATGGTCGAGCACGTCTCGGCATCCTCATTGAGAAGCATGCGCTCGAGGCGGATTTCGTCGTCGACATCCTGCAGCTGCGAGCGGAGCTCTGGGGGGTGTTGTTTTGGTCCAGTTCCCACAAGCGGGTGGGGATTTGTGTTTGTTTGTTTGTTTGTTTGTTCGTTTTCCCCGCCCCCACGGCCAGGTGGATTGCAAGTGTGTCAGTTGCTGGGCGTTGCGCGTGTGAAGAGCACCATGACCAGGGTCGTTGCGAGGCACAGCCGCCATCCCCCCCCCCCCCTCGCTCCCCTTCTGGCAGGAACCGACTCGCGCGCGGGCGTACCCTCCACCTCGATGAGGCTCTGCTCTTGGAGGAGCTCATGGCGCAGCTTCTCCGCGCGCATGAGCTCCACCTCGATCTCCTCGGGGGTCAGCCCCTCGAGGTTGATGTCCTCCAGGAGCCCACGCGACCCATGCTTCAGCCCCTCGAGGCCTATCCGCCGGCGGCTCTCGGCCTCCAGCGCCTCCAGGCGTTCGATTTCGACCGACAAATTCTTGTGCATCGCCTCCAGCTCGGTCACCCGGCGACTGGCCTCGGCCGCGCGCGCGGCGTCATCCATCTTGGCGCGGTCTTGCAGGAGCTGACGAGGCGCACGTGCCAGATGGACGGGCAGTTGGGAGGATGCACCCCCTTGTCAGCTGTCCGCCAGTGCGTGTGTGTGTGTGGAGCGAGCGAGCGGCGGGCGCAGGGGAAGGGGCATCTTGCGCGGGCGAGCCCAAGCGGGAGGGAGGCCGCGCTGCCGGCCGGGCCCAAGGGCGCGCACCTGCATCCGGCGGGTCTGTTCGGTGATGAAGTTGGCCAGCACGGCCACCTGGAAGCGGACCCGCTCGTCCCAAGGCGGGTCCAGGTACGTGGTTTGCATGGTGTGGTCCAGGTAGTACACGCCGATGTCCTTGTCCACGCACTCGTCCCACCCATAGGGCAGCTCTTCGGCCGGGAAGGAAGGCCACCGAGGGCGGTGCGTGTGTCGTCAGCATCCGATCGATCGATCGCCACAGGGGACCCCAGGGCCCGAGCCGAGGGGGGCCTCCGCCGGCGGCTCATTCACCCGGGGCAGGGGGGGGAGAGGGTGGGGTATATGCGCACCGCCATACTTGGTTTCGAGGATGTTCATCGTCCGGGTCTTCTCGGTACGCGGGTCGATCCAGGTGGTTTGCTGGTTCAGATGGCTGGCCGGGCGGGGGCGAGGGCGAGAGCAGCGTCACCGTTGTCCAGTCAGAGGCACAGAGAGAGAGGGAGAGAGGGCGCGAAAGAAAGAAAAGGTGCCAGGGCGGCGGGACTTTGAGCTGGGACGCGCGACCCGGCACAAGCCCCATCGACGGCGTCTGCCCCGGGAGCGGCCGACACGCACTCGATGTAGAGGGTCTTCGGGCCGCTGAAGGAGGGGTGCGGGTCTGCGGGATCGCTGCCACGCGACTGGAGCATCTCCCACCCGGTGGGCAGCTGGCCCAGCTGGGACTTTTCCCAGATGTAGAACTCCTTCGACACGCGCGGCAGGAAGAAATCCGCCGGCAGCCCGCCCGGGGTGGTGGGCTGCGCGATCGGGCTCGTGGCTTGGGCCTGTGACTGCCGGGCGGCGGCATGGTGGGCCGACGGGGCCGTGGCACTGCCCGGGCCGGCGCGCTGCGACCGCTCGGCCGCATGCCGGCGCATGCCATCCTGCTCGTCGGCGAAGGTCGGCGACAGGGCGCGCTCCGGGCGGCCGCGGGATGTGGTGCCGCGCGTGCGCACCGACGACCCGCTGCCAACCACCCGGGCAGCCGACACCCCGCTCTCGGCGTCGAGAGCGCTGGGGTCCGTCCGGCGGCTTCGCCGCGGCCGAGCGGGGTCATTGGGGTCGGTGCGCCGGGGGCGATCGGGGTCGGCGGGGTCCGAGCGCCGGGTCCGGCGTGGCTTGTCCGGATCGCCGGGGTCCCGGCGCCTGGAGGAAGACGAGCGCGACCGCGACCGCGGCGGGTCCCCCCCAAGGTCCGGCCTGGACTCGGGCTCGAGGCTGTGGATGCTGGCCAGGTCGGCATCCGGGTGGTGGGCCGTCGGTGCCGGGTCGGTCGCCGGGGGGGACCCGCCGCGGTCGCCGGGCGAGCCGGCCTCCAGCATATCGGGCGTGTGTGCGCCGCTGTCCGCCGCGGCGGCGGCCGGCATGTCTCCGGCGTCGGTCGGCGGTCGGTCGGCCTCCTCCAGGGCCGCCTGCGAGGCGGACACCGACACGACCGAGGCCGACTGGACCATCCCCATGGAGGTGCGGCGCTTGGAGGAGCCCTTGCGCTTTTCGACCGGGCGCGCTTCCAGCTGGCCACTTGCGGCCGGCGGGCGTCCGGTGACGGTCATGGCGACAGGGCAAGGAAAGGACAGGCAGAGGGGGCAAGGGAGTGGCAGAGGAGGGAGGATCGGATCAGGGCGAGGGCGGGCGGGGGGGGGGGGAGAGGGGCGAGGCGGCCAAACAGATCGATCTCGTCTTTGCAGCCAGCTGGGAGCCGCGGTGCCGTGGCGGGGCGCTTTGTCCCTTTGTCCTTCCGGCGGTCCGCCCCTCCGCGCGGGCCTCCCTCGGCTGTGGCGCCCCTCCACTGCGTCGCCCGCATCTCCCGGCACGGAGCGCTCCAGACGCGCCCCGGCCAATTAGTCCGGCGACACCATGCGCACGAAAACTAACACCCAGGGGGGGGGGGGGGGGGGGGGGGGGAGGGGGGGCCACAGGGACCGGTCATTTTGCTTAACCCCTCCCCTTGCAAGCGGGGTGTTTGTGGGGGGGCAGCATGCAGGGCGATGCGCCGCCGCCTTTCAGGCAGTCTCTCCAGCTTCGGAATCCCCGAGGCCGGGTGGGTTAATTACCCTCCGGGGATTTCTGTCTCCCCGCGGCCGACGCGGCCTCATGTTTCCCCCCCCCCTCGCTCTGGGGGAAGATGCACCCGCCGGGAGCATGAGGGCTTTGAGGACCTCGACCAGATGCTGCCCCACACTTCCCCCCCCCCGTGCTCCGAGTTGGAAAATGTGCTTCCCTCTCTCTCCCTCCCCGCCCTGCCTCTCCCCATGCCGGGGGGACGCTGTCACAGCTGGCGGGGGTGCGAGAGAGCACCGGCGAGCCGCCGGGCGAGGCTCTTTTCCCCGCGCCTCGCCAAGGGGCTTCCACCTTGGTGTCACCGCGCGAGGGCAAAACCCCATCGAGAATAGGGGCCTCCTTCGCCCTCGGGGCCTGCGACCGGCGAGATCGCCCCCGCCAGATCGTGACCCACCGGCTGAAAGTGCACGGGCGAGTCGCGCCCCCATGGCGCCCCCGGGGCCAGTCGGACGGCGCCGGCAAGCGGGGGGCGGGGATTGTGGGTGCAGCAAGGCCACCTGGCCGGTTCCCTTGTGAACATGTGACCCGATCAGGGGATAGGCATGCACGGGTCGCGACGACACGAAGCGACACCCCCCGCCCGCCCCCCTGGCCGCGGTGGGTCTCTTTCTGTTCCGCCGTTCCCCCCGGGCGGTCCTCTGTGCGGTGCACGCCACTCGGGCTTTGGGATGTGAGCCCATGATTCCACCACCCCCCTCCCTCCCCTTCCTTTCCGAACGGCCCGGCTGTCCCCCCCTCTTTCTCTCCCTCTCGAAGCGGCAGACGGTCTGACAAGCGGCAGACGGTCTGACAAGCGCCAGCCGACACGCCCGGGGCGTGTCTCTGTCATCTGTCGAACCGGGGCCTGAGCCCTGGGCGCTGGCCAGCCCCGATTACACGCTGGCCAGGATAGAGGGGCCGCCCA